AAACAAACATATGTAAAATGTTCTGACAAGTCAATTGGTGTTGGAAAACTCGGAAAATCCGGTCATCAGTTGAACAAGAAAATAGTCAGAATTTCAAAATTCACAGAATTTCAAGTTTTGAAGTTAAAATTTTAAAAATTAAACAATACATTTGATGTTTTTTTTAAGTCTGAATTAAAAAAACAGAACTTCAGAACAAAACGTGAGTTTTGAGTTTTAAAGTAGAATTCAGAAAATTAAACACATTTGATATTTTTAAAGACCGAAGAAAATAAAGTTTTGTAAAAAAATTACTTAAAGTGGCTGAAGTCACGTAAGAAAAAGCAAGTTTTGTGTTTCTTTTTACAAATATACAGAGTGATTCAGATAAATAACATGCCGAATTACTAGGTATAGTTTAATATGCACCTTTACAAAGCCATCTGAGACGAATTAATCTGTATGTATCCTATGAATAAAATTAAAAAATAATTTTGATACAATTGCAACATTTTTTAAAATAAATGACAAAATTTATAAATCAAGTAAAACAATAAGTAAAATAATTAAAAAAAAACAATTATTTAGAAAAAAATAAGGTTAAACCAGTTTTTTGTTTTTTAAGATAAAGAGTGATTCAAATAGAGAAACTTAACGTTTCTCCACAACTTTTTATGCAATTTTTGACGAAAAATACCTTAAATTCTTATTTAAATTAACAGTTTTGTTTTCAATATACTGAGTGATGTCAAAAAACCTGAAATAGTGTTATATTTCCACTCTGTATATTTTTGTTGAAAAATTCATCGAAACTAGAAGTTGCAAGTTGAATTTTTTTTTCCAAAACGAGATATTGCAAAGTAAATTTCAAAATTTTTTTGAAATTGTGAATGTGAATCCCCGAAAAATAGTCTCAAACTATTCGAAAACTGTTTTTTAGACGTAAAATCACGCGCTCAACACAATATAATCGGTTAAAATGCTCTAGGACGAATAGTTTCCGAGATATAATTTTTTTTTATAAAAAAAAAAACGGAAAATTATCGCCTCTCGAGCTAAAACTATGATTCCGATCGACTTCGGGTTTTCAGCATTCGTTAGATACTTATAATCAAATTCCGAAGTTTTTTCTAATTTTCGTGAGAATTATAGTTTTTGAGAAAAACGTGTTTAAAATTAAAAAAAATTTCAAAATACTTTTTTGACGAAATAACACTCCAGAGTAACAATATTTTGGGCTATACATACGTAAAATGATCCGTAAAATCGATTGGTGTTGAAAAATACGGAATATTCCAGGTAATTTACAAGTTATGAATAAATTTGTAAATTGATAATTTTTGTCAATATCAGCAATGTTCTTACAAAATAAAGGTAAAAACAGTCTAAAAACGTCAGAAAATTGTTCTTTTGACGTAAAATTATGAACTCAACATAATACTGGTTAAAATGCTCTACGACGAGTAGTTTTCAAACTATAGTTTTTTTGAATTTCTCTATCAAACTTCTGATTTTCTAAACATGTAAAACGCCAAAAACACTAAAACAGTTGAAAAACATGCTTTTCTCGCCTACAACCGGTTAAAATGCTCTACGACGAGTAATTCCCAACCACTCACCAAACAACATTTTTTGGTTTTGGTATAAAAGGATCATTGAGAAACTTCCTTAACACCGTCGTACACGTGTCTTTGATCTCATCTTTGCCCAAAGTCTCCATATACTCGGCCTCCTTCCCCGAAATCCACCCCAAAATAATCGTTTCAGTAATTTTCGAAAACGAGTAGATTTTCTTGTACCAATTTTTGCTCAAATCATTCTGCCCCTCAGGATGCTCCGTATCCGCCTCCCACAAGAGCAAGACTTCGGTGATATTGGGGTGCAAAAAGGGGCGCTCATACTCCAACAAAATCTTATCAACAGTCCCGAATAACAACCGATCAATCGCCTCGCGTTTATACTCGGGCAAAGGGGGCTGAAAAAGGGTGTCTTTGGCGTGTTTGAGGACCCCGAGTGGGACAGTGCAGATGACTTGATCGGCTTTGAATACTTTCCCGTTATCACAATGTATTTCAACGTTTTTTTCGCTTTCTTCGATCACAGTTCGATCAGAATCATCGGAGTCGTTTCCGTTATCAATACTGTTTCTTTTGGTGAGATTCCAGCGGATTTGGGTGACAGGGTGCCCCACTAGGAGGTTCTCGGGGGGGATGGCTTGAGTCAAAGGCCCCAGGATGGAGCTATACCCCCCTGGGAGGGTGATGTTGCCCCCTTGCAGCTCRGTGTAAGTCCCCAACTCGAGTAAATCAATCTCGTTCATATCGTCACACCCACTTATGCAAGTCTCCCGTTTRAACAAACACTCAAACAACAGTTCCCTCAAYTGTCTATCACGGGGGTCTTGGATTTTATCCAAGTACAAACTCACTTCTAGTTTAATGTGGTCCCCGACACTGTCAACCCCCTCAGGGGGCAAATACTGCGAGAGGAAATACTCCTCGCAGCGCCGCAGAAAACACAGATATGCCTCGTAGATCTCGTGCAAGGTGGCAAAGGGGACCTGCTTGCCGTTTTCCGTCGCTGCGACCACTTTGTGGGGCTTGGGGGTTTGCATTATGTCGACGAGACCGTGTTGCATGGCCAGTTCGTAGACGGGGTTGCCGAGGACGCCGTGYATCCAGTTAGCCCCCAATTCTACCGGTTCGTTACCCATTTTGATTTGCACGATGCGYCCCCCGASTCGGTTTCGCGCCTCCAGGAGTTTGTAGTCGCTGAAACCGTTCTTGGAGAGGTGGTAAGCGGCGGAGAGGCCTGCCATGCCGGCCCCCAGGATCAACACTTTACATTGCGACGGGTCTTTGTCGTGTGGGGGGGCTTCGGAGCTCGACATTGTCGCGGCCCCATCAGCTGAGAACTGTCACTGTCATAATGACAGATGTCAAAAATTTGAACGATTATGCAAAACGCAAGAAAAAAAATTAATTGTTACACTAAATAATTAATCGAGCACAAATAAGAACATTAAGAAACTCAACTTATTGTAAAAAATAATTTTGTGGTTTTTTGTTCGGACGCYGCCATTTTCGGTTGCAAACTCTATACCATAGAATATACTCAATATTGTCACTGTCATAATGACAGGTGTCAAAAATTTGAACGATTATGCAAAACGCAAGAAAAAAAATTAATTGTTACACTAAATAATTAATCGAGCACAAATAAGAACATTAAGAAACTCAACTTATTGTAAAAAATAATTTTGTGGTTTTTTGTTCGGACGCGGCCATTTTCGGTTGCAAACTCTATACCACAGAATATACTCAATATAGAAAATCAAGTAACACACAATTTTCCAGTCGTCAAAATTTCAAGCCTGGCGCCGTCTCTTGTTTGTATGTTCAACTAAAATTGGCGGCAAATTTAAATACTTTATCATTCAATTTTAATTTTCCTATTACAATTTAAACACATAACCAAAATTTTCAATAAAATCAGTTATATGTGTTTAATAATAATATTTTGGTTATGATCAAGACATAAAGAAGCACATACAATGGWCTTAAATTGTTTATTTATGCATTTAACAAAATTGTACCACACATTATGATAGCATTCACTAAAAGTACTAAGTAAATGGATTTGYTTTTTACATTTTTGACTGAATTCTTAAAAAATCCTGCCGTTCAAGATAGTTTCTAACAAAATATAACTGAAAGAAGATAGATTAGGACTGTAGTGTAAATGGGCACTACAGATTTAGATGGCAACCTGTATTTTTGCTAATATATACTCCAGTCGGATTTTGTGAAAGAGCAGTACATCTGACTTGTGGATTTCATGCCTTTTCAAGTTGATAGAATCACACAAAACTTTAGAATTTTTTGCATAGTTTCCTTTTGATATGATTGTCTCAGGTAGTATAAACCTTAATAGCAAAAGTCCTTCTTTAGCCCAAAAAACTGTTGCAAAGACTTTATCGTGTAAATTTTTGTCTGAACTTCTTATACTTAATTTTGGAATCAAATCATTGATTATTGTCTCATTATCAATTGACTAAAATGTTGAGCAAAAATTTCTCGGTGTGTAACAGTATCTGGTCACAATTGACTTGCCACAGTAAACGGAAATATCCGACATTTCATGAAACTAGAATATTTTTTAAATAGGTAGAGTTAAAGAATATGGTTAATTATTACATCGCACGAAATATTAGGTGTGTAGCTGTAAATGTCCTTCTCCAGTTCTGTAATACTGTAAGTTTCTGTAGGCCAAATGGTTCGTCCAGCAACTGCGTTTCTCAAAGAAAAAAATAASAACTGAGAATTGTACACTTTAATTTCACCAGAGTAATTAAATTCTTGACAAAAATTTCCGATAACTTTTGTTGTCATTTCATGTGTTTTTTCATCAGCATAGACGATGAATTGATTTTCTTTATCTGTCCATTTTTTCTGTAAAAAAATGTAAAAGATGCGACGCATTAAGTAGAAGTCAAAAAATAGGTCATTTCAGTAAAAACTTCATGAGTATTATTCTCATATGGTTCATCCTGTGAGTTTCCTTTGAATGATTCAAGGCTCCTCCATAAAATCCCAACGGCAGTTTTCCTACACAAGACAACTAACATTATCAAATATTTTTGCAAAAACTCACTAACCTGGTTTGATAATTCTGTGATAATCCTCTATTCCACTTTTAAGACTTACAGCAGCTACGGCCAGTTCACAGTTAAAATACTTAAATACTTATTCTCAGAAGGATAATACGTCAGATTTCTTTAAAATTTCAGGATTAACTAAATCAAATTTCTAACGAATTCTTGTATTATGATAGTTTTCTTAGAAGAACAAATTATGTTAGAAATTAGTCTTTAACTAACAAGCAGTGCTAAATCTCAAAAAATGCAAATTTAGAGCGAGATATTTTTATATTGTACAAGAGTTTTCTTAGAAGAACTCAATGATTTGCTACATAAAAAAGCACTTTAGAGAAAAAAACATATTTTTTTAAATTTCCAACGTATACCTGATTTTTTTAAACTAAAATTATGTTAGAAATTAATTTTTAACTAATACGCAGTGCTAATTTAGAGCGAAATTTATTTATCTTTTACAAGAGTCGTTTCCCCTATCCGGGGACTGCTTCGAATTCTGTTGTCATTCATTTTGCGTTCTTAAACGTCGAATAATTCGCGAATTAAATTTGAATGCAGTTAAATGTTCTATAAATTGGCCACAATTTTACTAGACTTAAAATTAAAAAAAATGTAGCTAAAACCAGATATCATCAGTTTGAAATTCAACAAAAAGGAAAGCTTCTTGCAGGTACCGCTTGTGTAAAATCATTATTAGGGGTTAACCCCTCGATGGGGGGTAATAACAGCTGTAAATCATGGAAGAAGCTTGAGATTTTCGGTCCAAGAGTAATGGGGGTTGCATCCAGCCCTTGACGAATCAAGAGTTTTGTTCAATACTCTGGTTAATTTTCACAATTATATTCAACATCAGCAATAACAGTGCAACAAGCAAAGGTATAAAGACAAAAAAATGCGCTTTTTCCACAAAATAAATTTATTAAATGAAGAGAAAGCAAAATCTTATCAGTAAATAAGTCTRAATATCATAACACCATTCTCACCAGTTCTATCATTTTAGATAAGTTGAMATTAGTTCTACAACATGCTTTTCAGGATTAACTTGAATTACATTTTTCCATTCGGATGTATTTCGAAAGACAAGCATATGAGTAGTATAATCACCATCCACAGCCAGACCWATAAGAACGTAGTTCTCAATTTCAGACTTCAGCACCTCTAAACCTCTGGCAATGCCAGCTTTACTGTCGGATCCGCCTTCTGTTTTTTTTTTACCAGGTAGAAGTCCAACTATATCCTCTGCAGCAGCAAGGGAGCTTTTTGTCTTACATCCAATTTTMCCAGGTTCACCAGTAGCKTCAGAATTGAATTTAACTTCAATGATAATGGCGAAGTTGTCGTGACGCCCCCAAACATCAATCTTGACATGACGTTCCTCGCCATCATTATGAAAATATTTTACTYTAAAATCCACCGCACCTGTCTCATAWCGAGCATAAAGCGTTAAGATTGCACATATGTGGGCGCATATTGTAGCTTCGTTTGTACACTTCAGAGATTTAAAAATACAATTCAAGTGTTCACAGAGGTTATTTAGTTTGTTGTGAAACTCTGTAGAGTCTAGCGTTGGTAATGACTTGAAGATCTCTCCGCAAGAAGTCAATTTTGATTGAATTTCTTTTGGAAGATTTTTATAGTAAAGCTTGAACAAATTTTTGTAATGGCTTTTAATTTCCAGATTTGGGATTCTTACATATATCTTTTCGCTCTCAGCAACATTTTCTATTGGTTTCTCTAGATTGTGTGCCAAATAACCTTGTTGTAAAAAAAAGTTGAAAACTGCATTTGGGTTCGGGTCTATTTCCCTACGAAACAGCCCGAGAATATGTTGAACATCTACTGCCTGCTGATATTCGATTTCAATGGTACCAGAATCTTCATAAAACAGTTTTTGAATAGCACTCATAATTTCGGCAGATTTCCTGAGTACTGGCACAAGTTTTCTAGTCAAAAAACCTCCGTCCCTCCAAAAACACCATTCTCCGAGATCTCTACCTTGTATGTAGTTAAGGACGGAGAATAAGCAGTATCTGGCATCTTTCTTGTATTCACCAGAACAGTAACGCTGATAATAGCCGTTGTATTTTGCGTTGATGTCACTAATTATCTTCTCGGTCTTCTCAACATCTCCCTCTGAGCCATAGAGTCTCTTCACTAAAGTTTCAACCTCTTGAGTAGTCAATCCGTAATATTTAGAAAATCTCTCGTCGCTCAAGAAGTATACCGGCAGTGTGTTGTCCATAGATGACAGTCCAGAACTTACAAAATTGCAAATGCCAGTGACCAAGGCAGCTTGAAGCTCTATCTGTTTATCTCTTGATTTCAAAATCGAACATATCACCCGAGTGATAGTAGTTCCTATCTCACGTACTTGTTTTTCAGAAAGCTTCCTCTCCATGGCGGCTACACAAGGCTTGTCAACTTCATCTACCAAAAACACTGGTTTTCTCCCCCAATGTATCCTCAAGCTCTGAATCAAATTCTTCAAACCAATGATCACTTTCGTAACAGAGAGATTCTTAAGGTTAACATTACTGTAGTTCAACCAGTCTGTACATATTTGTTTCAACTTGACATGTTCAGGATCATCAGATTGAAATTCTTTACTATTTATAAGATACTCGTGTTCGAAATAACCCTTATTCACTTGCTCAGCACAAAAAAATATTGCCTCTGACTCATTTTTAACTACACAGTCTTTGAAATTGAATGAAACTACAGGATGTCGCCCAAAATGTTGGATGACAAATTGTTCTCGTTTTAAGATTAAACATTCTTCATATTTTGTGCCCTCAAACTGTCTAAGAAACACTTTCATGTTCTTTGAGGGATTCGATCGAAGATCTTCCATTGTTGGGTCCTTTGCAACATCTTCCTTTGTCTTTGTATTTTTATCTTCAATGTCGCAGAATAAACGAATCATATTAAGGTTTAGAGTTTTGCCAAATAATGATGGTGCAAAAATCATGACGTCCGTCTCCTTCTCTCCCTGTAGTAACTCCTCTATGAGCATTGTTCTATCCACAAATCCCTCCAACTTGGCAACATCTTTAAACTGCTGAGCATTTAAGTTGATGACAGTTAGCTGTAAAAGAGAAGAAGCATTACAGTTACCAATTAGCACAAGTCATTAGGAAGAAGAGTTGAAAATTTTATGTTGATAGATGAAACAAAAGTTAATTACCTTGAACTGGAAAATAGTGTAGTGGTACGTAAAAAATWGGAATAAATGTAAACTTACCTTCGACATGTTTACAACTGAATTTACGTCATCTGCCAGCTTCTGCCGTTTACAATCAGGTGAAGACATCAAGCTGCAAACAGATTATAGTAGTAAATATATTAGAGGTAGTCCGGTCAAATTAGTCATAAAAATAGTGGTCAAATAACAAAAATTCCGACAGAGCTAAATTTTGGTGGAGACTTTGAGTACACCATTAGAAATAAAGTGTCAAAAGTCCCCATCGATCCCATGTGTGCTAAAAAAGTTATTCGAGGTCAAAGGTCAAAATTTGATGTTTTTTAGATTTCGTTTGAAAACGGTAAGTTTTATCAAAAAAGTAGTCCAGACAAAAAAGATAGACCTTAAAATTATCTACAAAAAAGGTCCTTATACTTTTTTTTCTAAGAATCACCATTACTGAGATATCGCGATTTTGAAAGTTGAAGGAGTCACTTTCTATGTGATATGCACATACAGAGTGCGTCAGAAATCGCGCCCCCAAAAAAATGCTATATAGGGTAAGGTACCAGGAACATGAAAAAAATTTTTAAAAAATTCTATTTATAAAAATTTCGAAGTTATGAGAGTTTAAATTTTAAATTTTGCCTTTATTTCTTCTTTATGTTGAAAAAACAATTTTCCAAGTTTTTTTTGCTACAGGCTATTAGAAGAGGAATCAAGGAAACTGAAACTGTGATAAGCCTCAGGATTCAAACATTTGTGTTGTATATGGAGGTGATCAATTTAATGATATTAAATATGTATATTTAATTAATTGTCGAAAAAAAAATACTTCTAATAAAAGCGATCTAGTGCAATATGCGAGGCAATATGAGACCTACCGTACTATAAAAAGCCTACATAAAATGAATGAAAATCTAGATATCAACGTAGGTTCAAGAGAAAAAACAGCAATTTAATAATAATAATATAGAGAAAGCTATTAGTAGAAATAATCATATGATGAGGACAAACAAAGTATGGAAAAAACAGTAATATTTATAAATGAATCAGGATTATATCCTTTAATTTTATCAAGAAGCAAAAAAAAATTTACCTAGATCAGAAGTATTTCCCAGAATAAAAAAGCATGGCAAATATAAAAGAATAGAATTGGAGCAATTGAAAAACGATAATTTGAAACTGAGAGATTTAGTATAAATGGAATCGGTATATAAACATGGAAAAAGAAATTTATATGAATATAGTATACAAAATGATTAAAAATTTTAAAGAATTAATAATGATGTTGAATAACAGTAAGGCAAAAAAAGCTGGGAAATATTATTTTAAATTAGAAGAGTTGGTAGATAAATAAGAAAATTACGTAAACGAATATAATTTTTAAAGCAATATAAAATTAATCCTAATCKATTAAACCTGTTTGATTTTATAAATAAAAATAACTACTATAAAATTAATTTGAGTACGTGGTTTAGAGATCTATGGTTTCCGTTATTTAAAAGAAAAATATAATAATAACAAATAGTCATTTACGCGATATTAAGAAAGATTTAAAGAAAATTTTAGAAAGCTATAAAATAGCATCGCCGTCTCCATAGAAATAATCCTTTTCTCGCCTCGGCATTTTTTGAGTTCAAGTGATTCCCGTTGGCGCTTTAATCTGGGGAAAATTTTTGACAAATCCAGTTTTTTACCTTAAAGGGTTCAATCTCATAATATCAATTCTCCCTGGCGTATCTTGTTTTGTTGTATCCTTCCTTCCCAGCATTTATTAATTGCGTTATTTTTCGTTAATAATTAAAAATTATTCAGTTTTTCCTTTGTAACCCCCGTAACTAAGAAAAAA